AAAAAACCCAAGATAGCTAGATATGCCAACACAGCAAAAACGCAGTACTGACATGTAAGTAACTTTCTTGGGTCACTTGCGGCAAAAATAAACGTGCCTGGTTAATCATCAATTCATCGCAATACATGCACAAGTATCAGCTACTTCTTTCGTCTCTTGTTATAAGATCCTTTTAACTAAAAAAAATAATTAAAATTAGTTAAAAATAATTAATATGTAACAAATATAATTTTTTTTCAAATATACCCCTATATATAAATAGGTAAATATGAGAGAATAATAGTAAAATAAAAGAAAAAAGAAAATATATTAAATATATTGAATTATAAGTAAAATAGGTACTAATAGATTAAATGCTGAAACAAACTAAAAAAAATCTTGTAAAAAAGGATATACTTATTCAAAAAATTGAATCTTATAATAAGAAACAGAGGAAGTATGTATCAACCAATTAGTCGAGCCAAATTTTCAGCTTATAATTTAAAAGCGGACTTATTATCTGATTAAATGCATGTACATAATGCCTTTGTTTTAAAAAATTAATATAATAAATTAATAAATAATATAAAACTCTCGAATTTGTTATTGGGTCAGATAATGATAGTAAACTACCGATTACTGAAAGAGCAATAAATTTTGAACTTAATATTCAGGGAGAATTAGAATGAAGGAGCTGTAGAGAAGAATATTTAGTGCAGAAGATTATAAAAATTAAAATTATTTTAAAGAATGATATATTAAAATATAATTTTAGAAAGACTAAATTACTCATTACTAATCCTCTTATATTCTCTTGTACAATATTTCAATTATTTGACAGTTAGTGAGTTTCTTCAATCTCTATTAGCCGCACCTCACTCCATACAAAATATAAAGAATATTGATTGATGTACTTTACTCTCTTTTTTATTCCTGAATGTAAACAAAATAGGGAGAATTGCAGAGGGGATGAAGAAAGTAGAAGGGGTAGTTTGGTATTTTAAAATCTATATTTGGACCTTTTAAATAATTCTAATTTTTATTATCCCTCTTATTAAATATTTTTCTCTGCAGATCCTTTGGTCTAATTCTCCCTTTTATTTAAAAGAAGACTTATCATCCAATTAAATGCATATACGTTATAATAATTAACTAGCATTCATGCGCAATAAAATTTATTTAACAAAATGAACATCGAGCACTGGTGAACTGATATCTCTATGAGTGCCGTCCGGGTATCAAATTCATATTCCTTCCTTAGGAATTTTCGCCGCTCGTCTTCTTTTAAAAACAAATGCCCTTCACAAATATTAATTGCAATATATAGATATATATAATTTATATTAGATGACTTTTTTGTTCAACAAAGACCTTAACTTTTGAGTACTTAAAAATATTAAGTATGTTGAGGCGGTGAGGGTACAACATCAAGACAGATATTGAAAGAATTAAGAGCTGTGATTAACAGCACAAGACAAATTAAACAAGTAATTATTGGAATATTATTTGTGCTTTTCTAAGTGGATTAGTTCCTAGCATGCAGAGTGAAACAAAATAGTAATATTATAATGGCCTAGCCTCGGCACCATCAACGTAAATAGAACAAAACTAGAGAGGAAGAGAACATGTTTGCCGGCTGATGATGTCCAAGATTGGTTTCAGTCTAACCGTCAGATTTTGTCCCCCTGCAAATCCTGTCGATTCTGAACATCGATCACTTTTTAAAACCTGCTAAATAGCAGAAGCTGAGGAAGCCAGAAAAGTGGTTTCTGAGGATAATAATCACTGCAATGGCAAGGCAAGATAAGTCAGGCACAAGTAAAAACAGCTTAGAGAACTTGCTGGACTTGGACAAAACAAGAGCCGCGCAAAGCATTGCGAAGCAACTGAGATCCCACAGGTCCATTCCTGAATATGGTCTAGAATTCAAGAACATATCATATTGTGTCCAGAAGAAGCAAAAGAATAATGGTGTTTGGATCAAGAAAGAAGCTTACCTCCTTCATGACATATCTGGGCAGGCAAACAGAGGTGAAGTCATGGCTATCATGGGACCAAGTGGGGCTGGCAAATCAACATTCCTCGATGCCTTGGCTGGTCGGATTGCACAAGGGAGCCTCGAAGGATCAGTTAGAATGGATGGAAAACCAGTAATTCATTAAGAAAATGAAGTCATACTGTTCTGATGCTTTGTTTGTGCTGGATTCATTCGAGTCTGATTCCTTTTTGTTTCTCTGGTTAAAATAGCAATGATTGGTGAATTTTCTAATCGTGCAGGTCAGTGCAAGTTACTTGAAGATGGTATCATCGTATGTGATGCAAGATGACCAACTTTTTCCTATGTTGACAGTTTTTGAGACATTCATGTTTGCAGCAGAGGTTAGGCTTCCTCCTACACTCTCCAGGGAGGATAAAAAGAACAGAGTTCATGAGCTCCTTGATCAGCTCGGCTTGCAGGTAAACATGCTCAAACATTTTAGACTATTTGTTGGGCTAGGCAAGACCAAGCCCACTAGACTAGATGGGCTTCAGTCAAAACCCATCAGACCAAATAGGTCCAAAGCTAGGCCTACTATGTCAGTCCACCTATATGCAGGTTTAACTCAGATTTGGATTCATTACAGTGCCAGAATTTGTAAAGGGCTAGTGCAGGGTATTAAAAAGGAATGAATCACTTGTAAATAAGGAAATAGTATAAAAGTAATATAAATGTTTCAAATTTATAAGCAATTGACAGATTTTGGCACTGCATGGAATCTAAGCCAGCAGCTTATCTTACCAACCTACTTGAAACTCACAAAAAACTTGTGTTGGATTTTAAGTAGCACAACATCAAGATGTACTTAGATATATTGATTACTTATGTCTTTTACTTCTTTATTAACCGAAAAACACATACTATGGTTGAATGAATGAATAGTTGTTCAGAGTGCAGCACATACATATATTGGTGATGAAGGGACAAGAGGAGTGTCGGGAGGGGAAAAAAGAAGAGTATCTATTGGCATAGACATCATTCACAAGCCTGCGCTTCTGTTTCTTGACGAACCAACCTCAGGTCTCGATTCTACAAGTGCTTACAATGTAGTGGAAAAGATTAAACACATAGCTCAAGGTGGAAGTATTGTCCTCATGACCATACATCAGCCTTCATTCAGAATTCAAAAGCTCCTCGACCAGATCGCTATCCTTGCAAGGTGCAAATTTTGAAACTCACAATATGACATCCAAATTTCCTAATCAGACTGGCTAATGAATTCAAAGTGGTGTTACAGGGGGAGGCTGATATACATGGGAAGGCCAGATGCACTGCCTGCTTATCTTTCTGGTTTTGGAAGAACAATACCAGATGGAGAAAATAGCATTGAATACATGTTAGATGTTATTAAAGAATATGATGAATCAACTATTGGTCTAGATCCCCTGTTCAGTACCAATGCTATGGCCAAAGGCCTGATCAATCAGCCATAACACCAGTCCCTAAAACACCAAAGACTCCAAGAACACCTCACAGAAGTAGCACCCCTGCATCTAAATATATCATCAACTTGCTGTCACAAGGGTTCACTCCCGGTACATCAAAGCCTGACTCCAACCAAGTTGTTGATGATGATGAGAGTTTTGATTACTCGCTTGAGAGGAAAAGTGCTCAGACGCCAAGGAATATGTCCAGTGCTGGTGTCCCACGTTTGGCTTCTCAGTTCTACCAAGAGTTCTCAGCCAAGGATTTCTCTGTCTGGCTTTACCATGGTGTGGTAGGAACTCCTAAACGCCAAGTATCATGGACTCCGGCCAGAACTCCAGCATGGACTCCAGCAAGAACTCCAGGGTGGACACCTGCAAAAACACCTAATTCAGGACCGAGAAGTGTTATTTCCAGCCAACATCCTGCATTTGATCAGGACCCTTATCGAGCCAAGACTTCCAATGTAGTTAGCCAATCTATGGACTTCCATGGACCTTCTTATGAAGAGTTTGAGATTGAAGAAGCTCTTGATGAGCCACATCTAGGATCAAAATATGCAAATCCATGGCTACGTGAGGTTGCAGTGCTGTCATGGAGAACTGCACTCAATGTAATTCGAACACCTGAACTCTTCCTGTCCCGTGAGGTTGTGCTAACCGTTATGGCGCTTATCCTCTCCACCATCTTCAAAAACCTTGGTCATCCCACTTTCAAAGACATAAGTAGGCTTCTCAACTTCTATATCTTTTCAGTGTGCCTAGTTTTCTTCTCTTCCAACGATGCTGTCCCTACTTTCATCTTAGAAAGGTTCGTCTTCATTAAAGAGACATCTCACAATGCTTATCGTGCTTCTTCATATGTAATTTCTTCCCTCATTGTTTATCTCCCATTTTTCGCCATCCAAGGCTTCACATTCGCTGCCATAACCAAAGTATTCCTTCACCTAAAAAGCAGTCTCTTCCATTTTTGGATAATCCTCTTTGCTTCGCTTATCACTACCAATGCCTATGTGATGCTTGTTAGTGCACTTGTTCCAAGCTACATCACAGGGTATGCCGTAGTTATAGCCACAACTGCTCTGTTCTTCTTAACTTGTGGTTTCTTCCTCAAGCGAACTCAAATACCTTTCTATTGGAGGTGGCTCCATTATATTTCTGCAATCAAATATCCATTTGAAGCATTGCTGACAAATGAATTCAAGAATGATAAATGCTACACAGGGAACCTGGCAGATTTGTCTCCTGGTCCTTTAGGAGAAGTGAAGCTAAGCTCCCACCATAACATGTCGAGTAATTGCTTAATAGGAGAAGATGTTTTATCCTCAATGGATATTATTAAAGAAGACATATGGTGCGACATATTTATTCTGCTGGCTTGGGGCGTTTCTTTACAGGTTCATATTCTATTTGGTTTTGAGATTTCACTCCAAGAATGAAAGAAAATGAATTATGGAACCTTTTTCTTGTTATGCATGAGTCTGTACGTTCAAGCTGGTCAAATATTTTCCAGCAGGTATATATATTCTCATGAAAAAGATATGATACGGGCTTCTGTCTCGAAGTACAACGCCCACGTTGAATTTTTCTTTCCCCATTTGAGTTACCAAACTATCTTACAAAAATAGGCAGGAAAGTGTGTATAACTTTATTCCAAGGGAACGCGAACTCTTGGGACAAGCAAATTGACATGCCAACAGACACAACGCGAGTCACGTTTTTAAGACATAACAGAAATATAAACACAGAAAAAAGCAAGAGAAAACAAAAACTGCATCCATGTTCTGATCAGGTGTCACTTAAGGAGCGCCTGCATGTTGCGCAACCTTCCTTTCAAGTGCACTTTTGTCTGCCCCCACCACAGTGTCGATCTCTTTGCTATTCTTAATAAAGAAAAAGGTGGGAACGCTGCTAATATTCCAGCGTGCAGCAGCATCTGTTGCCTCATCTATGTCAACCTTCAAAAATACAACTTTTGGGTACTTCTCAGCCAAGCTTGCAAAATGAGGCCCAATAAAACGACAGGGGCCACACCACGTTGCAGTAAAATACAGAACTGTCAAGCGAGATGTCTTAGAAGCAGCACTCAATAACTTGTCCAGTTCACCAACAGAATGGATACCGATGACTTGTCCTGTTTAATGCCACGAAACCATAAGTTATTTGATATCAAGTTAGCGACCAACATCAAAGTTTGGATTTAATTTCAAAGTAGCGGCCAGAAGGAGTACATAAATCTTGAAAATCATGTTAAAACCTCAGGTCAAAGGCAAAAACAACAACAATAACAAGTCTTATTCTACTAAGTAAAGTAGGTTGCGTGAAGTACATGATGTTATTATGGTCCAGCAAAAGGTAACAACACAAGCAAAATATAGTAGTGATTGAGTGATTGTCAGAACTTAAAAACCTACCCTAAGCTCGTTATTTAATATTTTTCACATCAAAGAGGCTTCCATTTTTCTTTTCAGCATCAATAATTCCATATTCACGCCCATACCCACCCACTCAATTCAATATCAATGATTTCTTACGCCCGCCTCAACAATTATACCCACCCACTTACCCACAGACACTAGAATTGGACCAGGCGAAGGCTAAGGCTACACTTCCCTAAACCAAGATTGCTCTTCCAGGTCTGAGTTCTGACTTGCAAGTTACAATCAAGAACCTTTTGGTGTTGTAAGCATTCCAACATCACATGATGTAACCTATTGCCCCAACAAAATGCGTTTAAAAAAGATTTTTTTTTTTTTGGTACCTTTCTTTTCCAAGTAATATCAGCAAGAGTCACTAGTGGCCTCTTTTATTCCCAGCCAGGCCCCACCAGGGGGGGGGGGGGCGCCCCGAAAGAGAATCAAAAAAGCCAGGCAATCACATCATAGTTCTTTCACTAGTGGCGTCTTTTATTTTCTCAACAAAACACAGACCAGTCGTCATCATGTTAAGAACAAAGGAAAGCAAAACAAAATGCCTATAATTCCCCGGTCCTTTCATTCTTCAAGCACACCCAATATAGCAATTAATGATGAATGATATGAAGGTACAAGGCAGCCGGAAAGTGAAAAGTAATATGAGTGTGTGTGTGTAAGAAGGAGGGAGGGGGAAGTAGTTACAACATAATCATAAAATATATTTCCCACCTTCACTCAAACCACAAATATAAGAAAATGCGCCAATTAATTTGGAAACTGTAACAACTAATAACATCAGAGAAAATGAATAAAAAGGCATACCATCTTTTAAAGCAGACAATGATTCTTGAACCTGGAAAAAAAAAAAAAAAGGTCAAAACAAATTTTGAGCTTAAACAGATCACTGCAAAGTCACAGCAATGAATATGGAGTCTTAATGTTGCCAGGGAAGGGAGAGGAATTTCAGTGCCCGCAAGCCCTTAATTATTTATAATCCAAGTTGCACTGAGTAACCCTTTGTTGTATACGCAACTAAAAATCACCCCATAACTAAATAAGAAAAGCGTTCAACTATTATGCTAAGGATGCTAGTTAATTAATTCCCAAAATGTTGCCCAAGACGGCTTAACTGTGAACAAGTCTGTTCCATGATGGAAATTCCACACTACCCTACACTTACTTGAGCTTCCGCTTGTTTTTTCTTCTTCCGTTCAGCTCTCTTCTGCTCCCTTTGCTTGTGTAATCGTTCATATTTTCTCCTATGCTCCTCAATTTTCCGGGCATTAGGTTCAACCTATTAAACTTAAAATATATGATTATATACATGGTTTTTTGCTAGTTCTTATCTACCGTGGGCAGGGAAAAGGAGGTGGCTTACTTTTTTAAGTGCCGTTCCAATTTCTTCATCATAATCTAACTTTGAAGCCACATGAAGATCATTAGCTGCTTCCTCCCATAATCCTAACATAGCCCTAGCCATTCCCCGTATTTTGTATCCTTTAGCTGAGTCAGAATTAATCTGGAACAAACAATGTAACTGAGAGTTTGAATCTACACAAACATGTCATGTAGACAAAGCCAGCCTCATCAAAATTCAGTAGCAATTAAAACAAAACTTCCATGCTTTCCATGCAATGGGTTATGGCATGGCAAGAACTAATAATTAGACCTGCAAGGCAGTATCAGCATCACGGATTGCAGCATTTGGTTTCTTCAACTTGATAAAGACACTAGCTGAAAGCAAGAAACTTAATTTAAGTTTCCAAATTCCAAGAAATGATGCGGAAGGCAGTAAAATAAACCACATTTACCAATAGCTTTTTGGTTTTGGAAGATAAATTATTAGAGTACCTCGGGTAGCATAGAGTATTGCTGAATGGGGATTCAAGACAATGGCTTCTGTTAGTTGATCCACCGCATCATCCAACTTCCCTGAAAAGCATAGACTATCCAATTGACAGAGGAAAGGGATCTCCAAGAAACAAAGTACGAGAGACTCAGGATATTGCACTATCAAGTAAATTTAAGCCATGCCTTCTGAAATAGAATCCATGGCCCTAGACTTTGCAACTTGAGCAGCATCCCGCTGATCTTCTGTCACCTCGGCTGACGAATCTCCCATCTGCCAACCAATTATAATTATTTTTGTCAGAAGTAGACTTCATGCCATGCCATCCCACCGTCAACATACTCTCAAAAGAAAATATTAGATAGAAAAGCAAAAGAAAAGATTGCAAGATACACTGTTGGAAACCCACTAATCGACTGCCAATCAAATACCTTCTGAGGAGGGTCACTATCAGGTTCAACAACATCAGCATCATCCAGTTCGATATCAGATTCTACAATTTCATCTTCATCTTCTCCAGATAAATCAGCTCCTTTAGCATCAGCACGCTCTGACATGTTGTCAGCAACTTTCTCCTGCATGAGTTTGCTATAAGCCGAACATGACAGAAAATGAAAGAATTTTACTTTACAAGAGAAACTTTCACCCATATTCTCTTAAAGAAATTATCAGACTTTAAAAATGCAAAAGATAGAGTACAAAGCCACCATTTTGGGATACCATCAGAAGTACGGAACTTAGTTATTCTTATTTCCATATATGCATCTCAACATTCACCAACAGTTACCACCCAAACTCTAAAAGTACATAAATTTTGACATGCCAAATGAACATGAGCATAGTAGCAAAAGAGAGACGAGTAGAAATTGATTTAATAATAAGGGGATCACCGTTTTCTGTTCTGGAGGTAGGCGAGCACCTAAGCTGCAGGCAAAAGTAATACAAATGTTTCAGAGAAAGAAATCACGAGCCAACATGAAAAATGAAGAGCAAAGCTATCTGCTGACACCTCTAGTACCTCACAAGATAAGACTTGAAGAATGCAAGAGATGGGTTGTGAAGAAGTGAAGGATCTGACTTGCATCCATCAATAAATTTCTTCAGCTCCGCGACTCTGGCATCATCCATCGGTTGATGATTTTCTGTCTCTATCCAAGACCGGACCACCACTGCTTAACTGCTTCGCACAGCGAAAGCACCTGACCTGAAGCACTTCGAAATTCAGGGTTTGTATCCGGTATAGGTAAGCAGTATGGTCTCTGATCGACCTTAATGAACAACTGCAGAGAAATGTCTTTACTTGGTTTTCACAAGATAAAGAAAGGTGATGATTGGAGTAGCTTCGGTTCTCCCCCAGTGCTGTAAAAATATTTAGGGCCTGGATGACTCCCAGAATCATGGTTTGGCTGGAATGTCATCCAAACAGTATCAATTTTGATGTCATAATCTGAAACCATGATTTGAGCTGAAATTATGGTTTTGAAACCAAAAACCATGATTTTAAGAGAGGTGAATCCATTCTGCTTCTGGCTCAAATTGGAGAGTATGATTGTACCTATTAGAGTAGATCTCAACAATAATATGACTTTAATATCCCTCAATTAATTTTTTATAAACATATTAATCTTATATCTTATAAATATATATACACATATTAATTATTCATTAATTATATTATCTTATGTATTATTAATTATGTTGGTAAAAAATATATTATTAACAATTTTATTCCTTCAAATTAAAATATATCATAAAATCTATCTTTTATGTAATTATCATATTAACTTATGTCTTTTTTAGTAATTTGTATATAAAAAAAGTGTTTCTGATAACAACTATCCAAACACTCTCACTTCTTAGAATCACTTTTTCACAAAATCTATTCTTCACAAAATTTATTCTCCCCAGAATCTATTCTCCAGAAGCTATTCTCCAAACCATGATTTGGTTCTTGTCTTGATCCAAATAAAATAAATCTGCTCTTTTTTTTTTAATTTGATAAGATTTTTACCCACAATCTTACTTTGGGTTTTTTCCCCCATAAAACCCATAATCTTACTCTACTTGACCACCTTTTAGTATGTATTTCTTTGATTTTAATATAAAACAAGTTGTTAGTATTTATTTCTTTTATTTTAACATTAAAAATACGCTTAAATTTTGGTATGATATATTTTTATTGAGTGAATTTGGTTACGACTTTAGATGGTATTACCTTCATTTCTTAGTTTCTAAATAAATAAAATTTTATAATTAAAATCTGAGATAGGAATTTATAAGAATTTAGAAAATAGCATTCACTCAAAAACAAAATAAGAGTTGAAAAAGTAGATTGCCACAGACAATACTCTTATGAAGAACTTCTAAAACCCAAGAATAAAAAGCAAAAAATACTTTCAAAAAAATTATTCCAAAAAACTAAGTTTCATTGATAAAGATGCTTTTCAAATTTTTTTACCAAAAAAAAATGACTTCCAAATTTCGACCAAGGTATAGTTCAAAAATTTAATTGGGTTTTAAATTAAAAATAAAAAATATTTATACGAAATTGTGCTATTTATAAGTCCTATTATCGTAAATAATAATATAATATAAAATTCACAAAAATAAATAACATTTGATAAAACTTCAAAAATATAACTCATTATCAATATCTATATATCATCAATATATATATATATATATATATATAAATACTCTTTCACCAAACTATATCTTCAAATAGCTTATTTATGACCCTAGATACAAATCACCATTTACAAGCCAAATTAATTAAATAAATATAATTTTTGAGCTGCTATCAAGCCAAATGACATTAATGATAAGCTGCCAAATTAATTAAATAAACACTCTTCCGATCCTTAATGTAAGACATATTTAATTAATTTGATTAGATCAAGAAAGTTAGGTAAATTAGTTAATTATAAAAAATATGATATGCTTTTCCTAAAACACCATAATCATCTTTTTTAATATCCTCATTCCTTCTTCTATTTGATTATGGTTAAAAGAATATTTATAAAGATAATTTAGAAAAAATTGATAAATATGATAAATAGATATTATATTTAAAATCAAAATTAACTTAACAATTAAATTATATATATTAATGATATGTTTGTAGCTTGTACGGTCCATTTAGTTTGGGAAAGAAAAAAAATCTCGGACCTTGTAAGACTAATAAATTTTAAAATTTGAAATTTGAAATCCAATAATTATTTCTTTATTTTTCTCCCCCATCTATTCTCTCTTTCACCCTTTGTCAGCCATTTAACCATTTCTACTTCCTACATCATCTTTCTCTCATTGGATTCTTCTTCTCCAGGGTCGTCTTTGAGTGCAATCAGTGGTCCCTTCTTATGCATTCAGCTGAGCATCTCTGCTCTCCCTCTATTTCTCTTCATCTTCAAATCTAAGCTCTTTCGATTTGTTATCGACGACAATCAAAGGAAGGTTCGTTTCGAGGCAACTGAGAAGTTCACGAAGCACAATGAGAGAGGCATTTGGTTAGGCTTCCTTTATGAGTAGTGTTCTTATTTTCTTTTTACCCATTTTTCCTCTTCTCCTCTTTATTTATGTTCTCTAACCTTAGGGATCCAAGAAGGTCATGCTTGCTTCATGTTTTGATTTCTTATCTTCTCCAAAATTTCTTATCAGGTCCCTTTACACTGATGTCTTTCTTTTCTTCTCGTGCAGGTTCTTTCAAGATTGAATATTGAGATTGGAAGGAACAAAGAAATAAAGATGAACAAGAGTAATGGATGGAGACCAATATGAGCAGTGATAAATGGAGGAAGGTTAACGGACTTCCATCTCACTTTACGATATAGGTTTCCATTCATCCTCTTCTGCATCTTATAATATTGTCATGGATTTTTATCTATGAGCTGTAAAATACTTTCTTATATATTAATAAGAAACAAGACAATGTCCTCGCAGTTTCCTTTTCTAATCCATCATCAGGTTTGGTTTGCTGATGGGGGAAGATGAGAGGGATGCAAATTGGGAAAATTTCTGCACTCCATTTTCTTTTTTGATTCAGATTTTCCTTTTCCTAGTTTCTAAACTATATCATTCAGTTGGGTTTATTCTTGTCTTATTATTTTTTATATATGATTTAAAAGAGGATTTAATTGCTTCAATCATATTATTATTTTTGAAGTGTATATTAATCATTGTCATTGTAATCATTTCCTTCTTTTATGCTTCTTGATGTTTTATAAACTACCAAAATTTACAGATGAAAACAGAAAAGCAATATTGTGACTTGGTAAGGGAATGTTGATAAATAATAGTCTCTTGTGTAACAAGAAAGGTAAAGAATATAGAAGCTTGTGTCAATAGTTTTAACTATTTTGGTGATATGGTCAACACTAAACACAAGCCTATACAAAAATTAGCAAATGCTTAAGCAATTACAAATGATAAACAATCAGCAACTATGATATGGACTAATCCTGTGACTAGATGCAGCCTTTAACGATGTAAGAGGTAGAATCATGAGTCTTGACACTTTACCCTCTCTGTGTGAAGTATTCTTTACTGTAAGAAATGAAGAGAGTTGAAAGAAACTATAGCTCGGAAATCAACCTATCAAAGGAGCAGTTTTTCTCAAGTGCAAGGTTTTATCTGCTTTTACTACCAATTCAACTAATAAAGATTCGTTGTCATAGAGCTATTAAGACAACCCAATTTTCAATACATGTTAGAGCTATTTCCTCAATTTAATAAGAGTTATTATCCTTTGTCTTGTGAAGTATGTCCATTCGCAAAACACACAAGAACCACTTATAAGAACCATCCTCACATATTCTCTCAACCTTTTAACACAACAATATTCGAGGTCCTACTCATGTCACATCTTTGTCAAACGCAAAATGGTTTGTAGTATTTATTGATGACCATATATGGGTAACCTGGGTATATCTTATGAAAGAAAAATAAGACCTTGTACTTACCCTCATCAATTTTCACAAAATGATTTCCACACAATTTCAAGCTAAAATTTGTACACTAAGAAGTGATATTGAGAGGGAGTACATGAGCAACACTCTTTAAACCTACCTTTAAAGATCACAGAATCTTTTTCACCAAACCACTTGTGTCAACTCTCCCCAACAAAATGACACTACTGAACGTAAAAATAAACACTTTCTTGAAGTTAGCAGTGCCATGAGGCTACCTCATAATGTTCCTAATTGTTATCGAGGAGAGGCAATCCTCACTGCCACCTACCTTATCAATAGAATGCCCTTTAAAGAACATACTGACCAAGACTTATCCTAACACCACTTTAGTATCCCCTAAAAATTTTTGGTTGTGTGGCGTCATATGTCTATTATTTAGTTGGGAGTAAATTTGACTCTAGGGCCATAAAATGCATCTTTCTAGGTTACTCCAGTTCTCAAAAACTATGCAAAACTACAAATGCTATTCTCCTACCCCACAAAATTTTTTTGTTACCATGTGTGTCTCCTTTAAAGAAAACCAAGCCTATTACATGAAAACTTCTATTCAAAGGGAGAATGACAAAGAATGGCAGTTTGTGTGACCAAAACAAACCCCAAAAAAAAAAAGAAATTAGTGATGAATCTGAAACCAGACCTTAAACTGAGATTATCAAGACACAAGTTATAACAAAAACTTCCCGTACTAGCAAACAAACCTAAAACACTACCTGAACTAATAAACAGGCCAAAAAAACATATCTAAAACTAGTCTAAATAGACCTGAAACACAGGCTAAACCAGTTTACAGTCCTAAATCCAGTGCCAATGGACCTAAAAATAGTTATGTAATAGAGGAATCAAGTGAATCAGAAGAGGAGGAAGAAAAAGAAGAAAATGAAGTTACCCAAATTACTAGTAGAGACCTTTCCAGCTCAAGGCAACGACAAGAATCAACTCTAACTCAAAAATCTAATGATCTTGGGTGGCCATTTGCTTTAAGAACAAAGGTAAGACAATGTACTCTTCCCCCTATAAGTAACTTTATCTCTTATGACAACACATCATCTTGTATGAAGAGTTTTGTCACTAAGGTTAATGAGGAAAAAATTTCATCAACATCTAAAGCGGCAAATAGAGATCTCGGGTGGCAAGAAGCCATTAATAAAGAATTGAAGGCTTTGTCTAAAAATCAAATGTGGACCGTTGAAATACTCCTAAAGGCAAAAAGACAATTGGATGTAAATGGGTGTTCACCATTAAGTACAATGCTAATAGACTAGTGAGCAAGTGCAAAGCTCATTTGGTGGCCAAGATTCCCAAACACAAGGAATTGATTA